GTGGCTAAGGCACTTGGCTGCCACCAGCCACTCCTCAGAAGGAAGGTTGGGCAATCTACTTCCATAGTGATACCACCTCGGAAACCCAAGGAGGCGTCGCTATGAGTCGGGTCCAACTCGATGGCAAACAACAGAACCACCCCGTTGGCAGTTGTGGGGGTAGGGCCCAGCCATCTGTGTTTTAGCAAGACCTTCAGGTAATTCTGACACACACTGAAGCTTGAGAACCATAATAAGACTTGAGAAATTGCATTTCTAAGAAATTCTAAAAGAATGCTTGTCGGGAACCACACTTTGAGACCTTACCACTCTAGATGCTAGAACAAGAAAGTAGGACATAGGCCAAGAAAATAGTTTTTTGAGTTGATAGGATCCTATTGAGACTCTTAAAACTCAGATAGTTTGACTCTTGAGCTTAAAATGGACAGATGCTTTTGGCCAATTTTACTTAAAAATTTAATTTTTAAAAATACTGACTAGAGAATAATAAACCACCACCTGCACACCAGCTATCCAACTTGAGCATCTCAACATTTTCCTTTTTGCTTGTTTTTATTTTTCTTTTAAAGAAATGAGAGCACAGATACAGATGAAGGATCCTGTATACCCTTTCAGGATCCCGTTCTTCCATTTCTTCCTAGAGAGCCACCATCCTGAATTCGATGTGCATCACACACATACTTTTTTTTAATAATTTTACTGCTTAGATACATATTTGTAAATAATACAGATTTGTACATTTGTCCACTTCACATAACTGCTTGTAGCACACGTTTATTCTACTTTTTTCCCCAAGACATTTCTGAATATTATGTTGATATAACTTTAGCTTATGTATTTTACCTGTTATGTAAATATACCATAATTTATTAATTTATTATCCTTTCAGTAGGCCTTATGTTGTTCCTAAGTTTTTACTGTTTAAAACAGTGCTGCAGTAGATATTCTTGTACATATATATTGTGAGAAAGGAAGTTTCTCTAGGATACATGCCCAGGCAAGGAGTAGCTGAGAAGTAAGGTCAAGTTGGCTCCTATGTATAGGAGAACAAAGCATGTCCAGTCTTCTCCCACCCTCATTGAAATAGGACTAAACGTGGGTCCCTGCCCAGTGCGCAGTCAGGCCAAAACAGTTTACACACCAAGTGATTAAGAGGAGAGAAATTTATTTATTGCAAAGCAGCAGTGCAAGGAGTAGGGGTACCCATACCCAGATCTGACTCCCTGAAACTCCATTCAATTACAGTTTTGTAGGTTTCAGAAGAGAGGGTTATGCATATTCATAAAAATGTCAGTAATTTGGGTGTGAGATGGTTGACAGTTGGCTGATAATTCCTTCGCCTCAGTTTAAACAGACAGTAGCGTTTTGAGCCAGTGCGCTTGCATACTGAATGAGTCACACCAGCTTCCTGTCGTCAGCTAATCAGCTTAGGCAGAGGGGAGAGTGTTAGTTCCTAGTAACTTTGTTCCTCTCTGTCCCAGTGCACATGTCCATGGGCCAGAGTTAATTTTCAAGTTGTTTTCTAAGACACATTAACGCGTTTATTACCTGTGCCTAAGGAAATAGCAGAAAAGAATTTTTTTTTTTCCATTCAGTTATTAAGGAACTGAGCTTATTGTATTTACTCATCTGTCTCCAGCCAGAGTCCTAAGTGTTTACTCATCTGTCTCTAACCGGGGTCCAGGGTGGGGAAAAAGTTGAGGGTAATTAAGTTTACTTACTTATTCCCATCCGGGGTCCTGTCTGTTCTAATGATCTGCCTTAACCAGGGTGGAGGAAATAGTTTTGACTTTACTCGGTGTCATCATGATTGTTGGTATGTTTGAGCCCATTGTTGGGGCTGTTGTGTCAGTCTCTCTCTCTGAGGGTTTCCCTCATTTTTGCTGAGCCTCCACTTTACCAATAAAGTCCAGTAATTGGTCTTTGTCCTTGTCCAGTAATTGGTCTTTCCCACAGACGTGTCCAAAGTAAATGAGCCAGTCTCACCATCTTCATTTCTAAAGAGCGTTCTGGTTGTATTTTGTCTAAACTGATTTCTTCATTCTTTTGACCCATAGTATAGTTAATATTTTTCACCACCACCACAATTCAAATGTATAAATTCTTCTCTCTCCTTTTTTTATTGTTCAGCTTTTGCATGCATATGAGGCTTTTGAAAAGACCACAGCTTGGGTCAGGTGCACCTTAGTCATCAAAGTGACATCTTTGCTTTTTCAAATTTAAAGAGATCTTTCATAGCAGATTTGCAGTACAGTGTTTGATTTTTTTTTTTTTTTTTT